ATAAAATGATTTTTTTTTTTTAAAAAAAAAAGCAATATGAAAAAAATTGAAGGGGAAAACGAGGAAATAGAAAGCTTACTGGCTTAAATTCAACGATGAAGGGACATTTGCGATTAAAGGCCCGAAATGTTAAACAAAAAAAAGGGGAGATTGTTATTTTCCTAGAAAAATACATGACATAGATTTACTAATTGAATTGTATATACCATCATCATCATCATCCCTGAGGGAATCAAATTCAACTAGGGTTTTTGTTTTCTACCGCATAAAATGAATTTTTTTTTTTTAAAGCAATATGAAAAAAAGAAAGATTGAAGGGGAAAACGAGGAAATAGAAAGCTTACTGGCTTGAAATTCATCGATGAAGGACATCTGGGGTTCAAGGTCTCAATTTCGCGGCCGATTTCGTTGGAATTTTCGGCACCTTCCCGCCACTGGTCCAACGGATTTAGAGCCCTAAAAATACAATTCGGTAAATGCTGAATGACACATTTAGCCTTCTGATTTAACATAATATCCCATCTACCATTTTCTTTTTTTTTTTTTTGGCACAATGAGAGGAATAAGTGCACGTACGTCAACGAAGTTATTTAATCTCAATACAACAGTAGTTTTACTTAAAGAAACTAATATAAACTTCCTTTTTTTTAATAAGTGTAATTTGGGATAAGGGATAAAAAATTTTAGTATATTAATGTCATAATTTAAATTTTAATTATTAAGAAAATATAAACATTTTCTAACAACTGAGTCTTAAGGTTTGATGCAATATAAACAATTCTATATAAAAAGAAAGACAGTGGAAATGAGAAGTTGATGTTATGTCTGAAATGGATATTTTCTATAAATTGAAAGTGAGTCAATTTTTTTCTATTTGTGGGCTAATTTCAAATTGCCTAATTAGTTTAGTAACAGGCTTCCAATTTTTTTTTTCTTGTGAGTCGGGGAGATTGGAGTTTTGGTTGCGCACTTATTAATACCATTTCCGAAATTATTTAAGTCAATTGAAATATTATAGTTATAATGTCACTTAAATTTATAATTATAATACAATATTAAATAAATATAATATA